TCTATAAACCTCACAATAACAGAACAGAAGAAAGGCAGATAAGAAGAACATAAAAGATCAGTCGCTTAATGCAATCATTTTTTTAAAGTTCTGAACTTGCATCTAATCTTAATATTTAATCTTAAACTAAAAAAAGGGAATAGCAATTGATACGGTGTAAAAAAAATAAGTCAGGAATGAACTGAACATAAGGAAATTATTTAAAGAGGATCGGCATGGCATGGCCTCACATGAGTTCAACATTTCACTTTCCATGGTAAATGACAGAGAGAAAGAAAGAGAAATGGAATGGAGAAGAAGCAGACCAACATTAAAGAACAAAGAGTGTTTCAATAAAATAATCTGACATGCTTTAACGGGAAGATTACCTTATTTTTATAAAGATTTTCGTTAAGAGCATCTTGTACAGTCCAAGAGAACACAATGTCTACCAAGTTGGCACTTCCCTTTCCCCCTCCACTGTGAATCATCTCCATGATTTTGATCACAAGTTGCTCAATGCTAAGACCAAAAACACAGAATGACTCTCAGATTTTCTGGGGTAAAAACCAGAAAATAAAGGATAAGAAAAGAGTTAAGCTTTGAGAAGACGAAGATAAAAGATGCAAAGAGGAAGAAGTTGTTGACGCCAAGTCAATGTGAGTAGAACAAAGAAGGAATAACCCATGATGAGGATGCTTTATAGCTTATATTTCGAATTCGAATATGCACTGTGGTGTACTGGAGAAAAGGAAGCAACTTCCGGGCTAAGCAACGCGAAGACACGGATTTCTGACTTGAGGAAAATACTTTGATGGATAGTCGAGTCGACAGGGGCAATATGGTACAAGACGAGAATAGAAGAAAAAACTTGGAAGCTCCCTTTTTTTTCAAAAGGAGTGAGACACACCATTTTGGTTTTACCTGACCGGAGACACAAAATGAAAACACTTTTGTCTCACACTTTCACTTTCATTAAATTAAATGACTTTCTCGTATATCAAAAGCCGTTTAATGCCCATTTAGCTTTTTTTTTTTTTTGTTGAGGAGGAGTTTTGAGAGAGTTGAGGAAGGAAGATGAAAGAGAAAAATTAATTATCCCTCTAGTTCTTTTGCATGTAAGAATTAGTTAAAAATTTATTTTGGTATTAAATGTAAAATATCAATGCATTTTATCACATGAATAACTCAAATAATATCAGGTAATTTTTTTTTAAAAAAATGATACATTATTTATATATAACTAATTTATCTAATTTTTTTTTAATTTATATGAATTAGTTAACTAATGCCTGTATTTAGAATGAGAGAGAGTAAGATGTTTCCATTTGTTTTTATTAGAAGAGATTTCATTTTTTGAGCAAGGGGTACAGGAAAGAAATGAAATACTTAAGTGAAGATTAAAACTATAATTATAACTGGTTTATGTTGAGTAGCAAGAAATATTAGAAGTAAGTTATATTATAGTAATTTATATGACGATTTTTAACTGTGTTATTAAATTGTAAAATATTGATTTTAACTTGTAACGCACCAATTTCAATATTTTCAATTAAGAAATTGCCTAATCATTTCCAGTTATTTATAACGACTGATTTTAAGTCGGTATTAAATACTTTAATTTCATCATCATCTTTAAACTGAAATTCACATTCGTTATTTTAATTTTCGTTGTGTATTCTGTCAATTACGTTCGATGCATTTTCTATAATAAACTATAGATTTCGATATTTACTTAATATAACATTATAGCATGAGAAAAAAAAACTCATAGCAAATATATTTGGGAAGCTTCCAAGAAAAGAATCCTGAAATTTTTATTTTGTAACTCAAGAACCTAACACTTTAAGATGACAAAGAAAGAAGTAAACCCAAATTAAAATTTTAAAATTCAAGAGAAATGACAAAAATACTCCTTTATAAATAATAATTTATCTGGAAGTAACAAGCCCTAATTATAAAATAACAAGTCTCAATTTAAAATTAGCAACATTTTTTTTTGTGATACATAACATGTGAATCAATTAAAATGACAACAAATCATCTGAAAATAAGAAGTACTGATTGTAAAATTACACATCTCCATATGGTATTAACAACATATTTTTTCTGGATACATAACATGTGAATCAATTAAAAATGATAACAATTTATCTATAAATAACAAAATCTAATTGTGGGAATATAAGTCTCGATTTATGATTAACATTTTTTCCAATGTGATTAACAATTAGGCATTTTTGTCATTTTCATTGGATTTTAAAATTTAAATTTGATTTTACTTCCTTCTATATCATTTTGAAATGCTATGTTACTAAATTGAAAAGTATTAATTTTAGGGTTCTTTTTCTAAAATTTGTCCTAAATAAATATTTTTCATCCAAATTTGAATATTCAATAATGACAAATAATTTACACTTCTTAGTGATAAATACTATAACATTTTATTGTAATGGCCGTAGGTATAATGCTAGCTTAAAAAAATAGAATAGTAACTATAATTTTTAACATAAAATTTAAGTTTTTAAATAGGGAAAATTACGCTAAAAAAACTTTGAAATTGGATAATACTAAAATGATGCTTCGAATTTAACAAAAGTGAGATATTAATATTCAGTTAAAAAAAATGCTCCTTACATTTTTTTTTTTAAAAAAAAAACATAGCCACTCTCATCAATGACTACTTTAGACTTATTTAGAGCTTCGTTCAAAATGAACTTGTAATCCGCTGTCTACACCGGAGTCCCTCGTCAGCGTTGGAGGCCCGTTGCGGGGGAGAAGAATATTTGTGACAAAATGGTGAGACTGTTTGATCATCACTACCACCATTTGGATGTTAAGAGTTTTATAAAAAAAAATTAATATAATTATTGATTGGCCTCATTTTAATTTTAGTCTTTAAAATTTTAAAGCACAATTTTTTATTCTTTAAGATTTTCCCGTTAGGTTGGTCCTTGCAGTTAGAAAAGTACTTGGACCCAAAGTTAAAGGTGTTAAATTTGCACACGTGTCGTTAAAATTGCCTATGTGGGCTGATGACTGGGCAAGATGCTCATGCTGACATGGACATGTGGGGAAAAAGGAAGAGAAAGCATCTCAGAATGGGAGGCCGGGCGCTCACCTCTTCTCTCTCCATTCAGCTCGCAGGGTCTCCTCTGGTTAACGCGTTGAAGATGACGATCAATCTCTCCACCTAATGGCGCGCACAACTCTGAAGACAACAATGAGCGGCCAGGAAGTTGCTGCCAGCTACGCGACCTCATCTCTTCTCCGCCATCGGGCGCTCGTCTCTCAGATCTGACATTCCCCTTTTCTATTTCAGATTGTTGTCGAAGCTCCTCTGCTGCTCCAGTGCACGAAAAGGAGATGAACAGTAACTTCTTGGTCTCATTTTCAGTGCAGATTCCTTGCTTTTGTTGTATGCATTTATAATTTTACCTGATTGCAATTGGAACAAGTTGAGAATGTGAGGAGAAGGAGGAGCAAAGTGGCGAGCTTCCAGCATGGCGTTTTTTATTGACTGCAAGATAGAGTATTCTATCAGCGAGCCAAACGCTTCCTTCTCCGTTGTAATCGGGTATCTGACCGGACAAAACTTTTAGGCATTGCTCATCGTCGTCTTCAGCGTTGTGTGCACCATTGGTGGAGAGACTGATCATCATATTTAGCGCGTGAACCAGAGGAGACGCTGCGAGCTGAACGGACATGGAAGAGGAGAACGCCGGCCGATTGCTTTGCTTTTTAGGCTTCTTTTTTCTTCCTTGTTTTTTTTTTAACATGACCATGTCAGGGCAAGCATCTTGCCCAGTCATCAGCCCACATCAGCAACAATTTTAACGGTGTTAATGACACATGTACAAATTTAACACCGTTAATTTTTGGTCCAAGTTGTAACAGAAAAATCTTAAAAAATAAAAAAACTATTATTTGAAACTCTGAGGATTAAAACCAAAATGTGGCTAAATTATAAAGACGGACGATTATGTTAACCCAAAAGTAAATAACAACACTGAGGCTGTTGTTGTATTCTTATGTGACTCACTCCCTCTAAAAAGAATATTTTCAAAAATAAAATATATTTTTATACATTCACTGCCTACAATCAAATCTAATCAACTTTTTAATCTATATATATATATATATATATATTTTGGCTGGCATAAAATATAATTATCTGTATTATACATGTGGAAAAAGTCTTACAACAATTGTTATACCCCTTTCCTTTCCACAATACAAGTAACTCATAAGAAATAATTTAGTCCAAAATATAAATTATTTAGGCAATAATTAATACTTATTTATTAAATTTTGTCCCTATAATTAATATAAAATTTTAAATTTGAGATTGATTTAATAAGTTAACTAAATTTTTTTTATTCTAATATATTAGTTGAAAGTAACTCATACTGTAGGTCGGGAAAGTGCTTGGCTTTAATAACCATGCAACACCAAAATACTCCTATTAGTGATGGATACTAATCACATGCTCACTTTAGAATTGGGGACGTTTGCTCTCAGCATTAGAGACAACTTTATTAATGATGATTTATATTTTATTTCACTGGTTGAATTTTAGTTTCCTTATTATTATTGTTCAAAATAGAATATAAAGTAAATAATTCTTAAATCATAAAAATTAGAAAATACTTGAAAATTGAAATATAAGTCCCCTGGATTCACCTATGTTTTCAGTCTGTTGGTCACTTGTTCGATATACTTTTTTCTATTTCATCCGGTATTTTAAGGGGAAAAAAAATGTCTTCTGATAATTTTTATTTAGTTATCCTTTCTTTGATTCATTTTGAAAGAATCATTCAGGATCCAAACAATATTTACAATAATAGATGAAATCATCGTTTTAATAATTAGATGATCTTTTTGCTGATGCGGGTTGCAACTATCCCGCTGAATTGTTGAATATGGTCTTAGTTTCCAAGTTTTGTCGGTTGAAATTATTATAAATATATATATATATATATATATATATATATATGCAGAAAAGAAAATAATTTGGGACGCCGGATATATCATCTCCAGGGCGGAATCGGGTCGTAATTAATCCTCCCCGCGCGGCGAACTTTGATCGGCGATAGAGGGGGAGGCGCGAAGGAAGTAAGCAACTCTGCCTTGCTTCTCTTTCTTCTCACTTTCATTCATATTGAGAATTCAAGTTTAGATACCGGCAAGTCTTCATAATTGCTCTTCATTTTGAATTGATTCTTCATCGTTTTTTGTCCTAAATCGAGCTCCTTTTCTTCTGGGTTTCTTTCTGTTCTTTCAATTTGTACTATCATTTATGATCTTTTAGCTTTTGTTCTCTGCAACTCATTGTGATCTGACTCTGGGTGAGAACAATTTATGTTTGGACTGAATTTTCATCAATTTTAGTTTGTTGCGTATGATGTTTTACTTTTTTGCGTTAACTCTGCTGATTATTCTTGTTTTACCTTCTGTTAGGGTAATGTATAATCCTTGCTCCTTCATATTCAAAATGTAACAAATTCAATAAACTTTCCTGAATAAACAGGTGGTTGGTGCTTCATATTTGATTGGATCGTGGGAAAATGCATCCTCCTCTAACCTTACACAAGCACCCGATGTGTGCAGAAGTGAGTTTGATTATATGTTTTTTTTTTTTTTTTTTTTTGGGTGAATATGTTTTTGCTTTATTTTATTATGTATTGTTTACTTACGTTGTTAATTTCCTTTTGTTCATTCTTTTGCATTACGTCTCTCCATTTCTTTTTCATTAGAAGGTTGTTGCCTTGTTGGATATTTGGTTATAAACGGAGTATTATCTGTGAAATGGTTGTGTTTTGTTCTGAATGTGGTGGGGTGTGAATATTTTTGTTGCAACCTGGTTTTGTTGTGTGACCTAGACCGTGTATCTTTGCTTGTGGTGCTGAAAGCTGTCATCAGTGATATTGCTCTGATGATAAAGATTTGTGATTTCCAACTTAAGTAGCACGGACCAATTTATTGCTTATTCTGGGGTCTGCTTTGTGTAGATTATTGAGCAGTTCCAACAGTGCCATATAGAACATCCATATGGAAAATTCTTTGGTAAATGTACAGATCTGAAGATAAAGTTGGATCGCTGTTTCAGGGAGGAAGTGAGTTTTTACTGTTTTCTTTTTCATGGCTCTGCTATGTTTTTGTGCCACTGCTCAAATATGATTTGTTAAACCAGAAAGCTTTGAAGCGGAAGGCAAACTTTGAAAAGAGCAAGGAGTTCAAGCAAAGGCTAGATGCTTTTAGGAAAGAAAATGCTGCAAGCAGTAGCCAGTAGAAGAATCTTCGCTGATCTTACAAGGCCCCCGAACTCTAGTGAAAAATTGTTAGAGCAACACGGAAATTTAGAGGTTCCTGGAGACAGAAGTGTGATTAACGTTTTGCTACCTACCTTGAGCCAGGATGCTTTTAAGTCTACTATGGAGTATACAGATTTTGCCTATTGTTATTGTAGTCTGTTTTCTCTGTTCCTCAATTCGTTAATTGTATTCTTAGCAGAAAGAAAAGTAAAATAATGAAAGGGAAAGAATGAAAAAGGGGTTGAATATGTGTTTCTGACATTTTATGTAATTGCGTTATTTTGAAAAGTGAAATAAATGAGTCAAATGTGAGGCCAGCACATTAAGTTAAAAGGCCAAACTTATAGATCTTTTTTTCGTACATATTTAATTTGGACGACTCAGATTACTCATTTAGGCAGCCTGCAAGATTTCTCGACTGAGGATCTGAGTTGCCAACATTCTGAATATTCTGCATTCTGCCAATAGTTTGCTTGCTTTGACCACATTTTGCTCTCTGGTTGATCCAAAGGGGCTTCTTTGATCCCATTAATAACACCAGAAAACTAATGAAGTAATGAACAGAGGAGTCCAATGCTCAAAATGGCTTGAGGAAAGATGGGAAAAAATTTTATGGTCATGGATGCGCTCGACAAGAATTGGGAACTGTCATTGCCATCTCCTAGTGAAGAGCATATTATCTTTTTCTCTTTTGAATTACGAAAGCAAGCCAACAACTTAGAACTTGTGACATACTTTTGAGGGAATTTTAATATCACTATGCCACAAAGGCATTGATAAAAAGCATATCACTCCCTCTCTTTATTTTTACAAGAAACAAATACCAAGTAAGTTTGCTTACAAGCTTTAAATATGTGACAAATATCTCTCCTCTTTAATAAGAACATAATTGAAAAATTATAATAAATACTCTAGAAAAGCTAATAAATTGTTTCTCATATAGAAACAAAACCACATTCCCAATATTCTCTTGTAAATAGTAACAATAGAATATCGTTGGCAAAAAAAAGTTAACAATAGAATATCTATGAAGAACTGAAATTTCTCCTCCTGGAGGGGGGGAAAAGGAAAGAAAGAAGTTTCTCCTTCGTTATAGCATGAAGCAACATTCTCCAGTGAGAGCAAAACCAGATAAGAGGGAATTGAAAGAAACGGCTATTCCTTTTTTTTGGGGGGGGGGGGGGAGCTTACATATTAGAACAATGCCAAAGTATCACTTTGACACTTAACTAAACCAAAATAGAGAACAGTTAAATCATCTATAAATGAAAAGAAAAGAAAGTTCCACATGCATGTTTTCTATGAATATCAAGGTGTTTCATTTACATCGCAAAAGACCCTGACTATTTCCCCCAAGCATGCATGTGATTTTCCCAGCTGAATCTCCCAACACATTCTCATACTGGGTTTAAGTCAACTATACACAAAATTGTCTGTTTCCGTTCACCTAACTTTCTGGCAAACATTGGCGAAGAGCGACAGGGAGAAGCATTGCATCTCTTTCACTCTGACCTGTCTTCCAGACTTTGAATTCTGAAGCAGTGGAGCTAGTTTCACTCCACCGTTTAAGCAACGACATTGAGAAGGGCCCCCTTTTTTCACCACATGGACTTACACAGTGCCATATCGGAATTTCAGGATTTTCATTTGTTTCTTTCTCTATTTGACCATTTTGATCCTGCTCGTCGTCATCACTTAAAACGATCATGTCACGTACTGGCATGCTTTGCTTTTTCTTCTGCTTTTCCTTGGTCATCTGTTCTGAATTCATGGGAGTATCTGATTTTCTTCTATCACGACCTGAACCAGAATCAGGGTGCCTTGGCTGAGGAAGACCAGATTTTGATGTTGTATTGCAGGTCGGAGGTTCCAACCTTAAGTGTTCAGAGAGTACATTAGTGGTGTTAACTTGCAAAACTTTTGAACTAGATTGAAGCTGCTTTCTTGGAGAAGTGCATTTCCCTTGGACAATAGCAGTGACAGTTGATTGCTTAACAGAAGCAGAAATTGTCCTGCCATCTTGGCCTTTCACTGCTGGAGTCTCTGAGTCTGGGCCACGAAAGTTAAAACATGTTCATGAATATCTTCCATAAATACTAATTGTCATGAACATAAGTAGATCAGCTCCACAAAAAGGCGAGGCAAGTAAAAACCACTTTTAGTGGTGGAAGGGTACACAGACTAAAAGGCGCAGTATCAACCAAAAAGAGGATACAGCAGATGATATAGGAATGCAAGATATCATAAAAGACATGCTACCTGCAATTTCTAAATAGTCTGGAACTAAGCCTAGCCCGAGTGAAATATGTACCTCATTGCATTTGAATTTTAGAACAGTATAAATAAATACTCAATTTTCTTAATGGATCTTCACGGATTGATAAATCATAGCTTAAACAAGAATGAAAATGGCCTTCAGATACCCTAGTGCCACATCGAGATAGAAAATTCCCAACAGAAAACTTATTTGAGTTACTACAAATTACAGGAACAGATAGAGGACGGAGAAAGCTTGGCGAACCTGCAGTGGTTTTAGAAGGATTTCCAAGAGGAGTATGTGGTTCTCCCAGGACAAATTTTGGTAAGCCATTTTGCTCTAGTTTACCCTTACTTGGGGCAACCTCTAGTTTATCCTTGCTTAGTGTATCCTCTGGCTCCTGTGAAGGTTTGCCATGCAGTAAATCTGGAATTACTTTCGGTTTATCATTCAGTAAACGTGATTGTTCTGATTGGGTCTGTAGCAGCAGCTTTCTATCCATGTACTCAGAAAGTGTACGGAAATATTGCATGTTAAGGTTCAAATTGCTTATTATAGATGTGAAATGAACTCACGCACTCAAAACATAAAAGAAATTTAACCAGAAGGTATATAAACAATATCAGATCTGGCATAATAGTAAAACTTTCCCCACCATGAAGCCATTCAGCGCCTGACTATCCTTAATGTTGGGAGTGGGCCTACTCTATTTGTTTACATGTTTTCCCCTTTACTTCAGCATTATTTATTTGGAGGGAAAAAACAACAGACCTGTGTGTGTCTGTGTGCTCGCTTCTGGTTTGAGGAATAGAAATTATGCAGCGAGAATGAATCAAACGGAGCAACATGTACAGAGTGACAAAATACAATATCATGAAAGGATATTCTCTTCTCCATCCCTTTTCATTGGCCTGATCTATGCGTCTTTGTAATGATGCCAACTCCCTTGGGATCCACTGCCATGTTAGTTCTCAAGATATAAGAAAGTAATCACAACTAACATTAAAATAATGCCCACGGGGTCCATTAATAGGCGGGATTGGTGAGTCAAAAGTGTCGGATCATGTGCTCAACAAATTTAAATGTTGTCTTTCTTCACGACTAGATCCACGCAGAGAGCTAGATTCTGACTTTTAAACCAACGTTTAACCATATTACACTTTCATAGGGTGATGCAAGTTGCGCCAGCTTAAACGTGCTCAAATTAAGAACAGGGATTTCATAAATTTTAAAATTATAAAATTCGAAGCATGACGGAAAACAAAGAAGTCGACTTTCACCTAGAAACAATTTCCCTTCACGCATGGCATCTGATGTCATTTTAGTTAAAAATAATCAATGTTCCATTGTCAAGACTCTAGAAACAGCAGTCAACAATCAAGTGAAATTATATATAAAAGAGGTCTAGACCAAAAAGAAACTCAAAATATTGATGTCGAAACATACATGCTTTATGATATCTTCATGCAGACTTCTGGCTTTCTGTTCAAGCTCTAGCTGTAAAACAAAGAAAATGGTTAACATCCGTTTGCATTATTTTAGTAATCCAGTCTTTATATTTATTATTCTATAATCCTTTAGATTTGAATGAACCATAATTCTCACGTCATGGGAGGTAAGTCTGAAAAACAGCAAAAAGCTGAACATCTTGGCTGAAAATTATAATTATCATTTGTGTTGGTGCGCTTGCAAGTGTACGTGTGTGAAGTCGAAACATGTTTCGTATCAGTTTCAAAAGTTCAAAACCATCTGTGGGTATCAAATGCCTCCTCCCCATCCATGCGCCAAAACCCCTCCTGATACAATCATCACTTTTTTCAATCCCCTACCCAAATAGCTGCCAAAATCTGATGTGACAACCATCTCCCAATGTTAAAGAAACAAGTGGTAAACAAATTTCCAAGGGTTCGATTGTGTAGCACTCAAGCCAGATTGGCATTCCCCAAATTCCCATCTAAGGCATTCATAGAATCAATTACCTACTGCCCTAATGAGCTAAATTGTTAATGCATGATTAACTTACAACTGTGGGCTGTGAAAGTAGACCATCTTTCATCCTTTGATTCAGATCTTGGCATTCTTCCTGCAGTAAGTTCCAAACATTATAAAGCCATGCCCTAATTGATTTAGAATTATTAGAATAGAAAGAGAATGAACTCTGCAACAGAAAAAGTATCATGCTTCAAAATTTTTAAACACAACAAGCCTTATCCCACTAAATGGGGTCGGCCTCATGGATCACATGGCACTATTATGTTCTATGAACAACCAAATAATTTGGTTTAAAAATTGAACCCCAAAGAGACTAAACAGTAGACACAATTTTCTATAAGTTCAAGTAAATGAAACATTTCAGTGACCAACAACAAATTGCAAATCTATGTTGCTTATGGTCAATCGAGAAACTTTTCGACCTTTAAAGCAATATTATATAACAAAATATCACAGAAACATAAATAATTTATATGACACTTGAATTGTCCAAGTTGACTTGGAATTTGTTTCTTATTTTTCTCCAATATCTCCATAAAAATTGGGACAAACGAACCCCAAAAGCTTGCTACAACAATATTAGTACCTCTGAAAAGTCATCGTCAGAAACTTTACAAATAGGGACATCTATTGGCAAATTGGAAAGATGAAGCAGAATTTCTTCGTTGATTTCATTATTCTCTGAAGGTTCTTTTATGCCTGAAATTGATGAAGAAACATGTCAATAAATGCATATAGAAGAAATAAATCAACCGTTGGGGGGGAAAAATATCACTTGTATTACTTGAAATATCATGGCTGCAGCAAATGAAGATATTCAACATCATTAAGAACTCATGACAATCTGCTCGCAGCATTTTTCCACGGTTTTTTCATTTGTGCTTTAGGCTCAATCTGCCAGTTAATTTTATGAAATGGTCTAATTGTTTGCATTAAAGCATGACATGTTAGAAATTAGATACCAGATCTACCAATATCTCCCCAACATCCATCACTTCTATGAGACCCTGAAAGCTGGCTAAATCCAGAAGGTGCTTCTTCAAACATATATCTTGCTTGATGCTTGATGAAAACAATTATCCGATAATAGAGA